GGCTAGACAAATACAACATTCTGACAGTGAGTGCACTGTTAGCAGAGTTCGCAGACGTCTTCCCTGACGAATTGCCCCCAGGGTTGCCTCCCAGCCGAGCAATAGACCATCGGATAGAGTTGGAGCCGGGAAGCAGACCAGTAGCGAAGCCGCAGTGGAGGTTGAGTCCGGCGGAGACTGAGGAGATGACGCAGCAGGTTAGGCACTTTCTCGCGCAGGGTTTCATACAACCATCTAGATCGCCTTGGGCAGCACCAATCCTTTTCGCGCCTAAGAAAGACGGAGGGTTACGGATGTGCATAGATTACCGCGCACTGAACGCCGCCACCGTCAAGAATAGATTCCCAGTTCCGAGAGTAGAGGATCTTCTCGATGCAGTGCAGGGCGCTAGAGTCTTCTCAAAGATCGACCTCCGTTCGGGTTACCACCAGATTCGCGTAGTTCCAGAGGACCAGCACAAGACGGCGTTTCGTACGAAGCAGGGGTTGTACGAGTTTAGGGTTCTACCGTTCGGATTGACCAACACCCCAGCGACATTTCAGACGCTCATGAACACCATCCTCTCCGAGTTCCTAGGTTCGTTCGTTGTAGTTTACCTAGACGACATTCTCATATTCTCCAAGACGAAAGAGGAGCACGTGCAGCACTTGCAGAAGGTCTTCGAGGTTTTACGGAGGGAGCAGCTGTACGCTAAGCAGTCGAAGTGAGAATTCTTTCTCCCTGAGGTCGAGTTCCTAGGACACGTCATATCCGCTAGTGGCATTAGGACCGACCCGAAGAAGATCGCAGCAGTACAGGATTGGGTAGCACCGACCTCAGTCAAGGAGTTGCAGAGCTTTCTCGGATTCGCCAATTACTATCGTCGTTTCGTTCAGGGTTACGCATCGATCGCTAGTTCACTCACCGACCTACTTCGGAAGGGCGTAGATTTCGATTGGGGTCCAGCGCAGCAGCAGGCATTCGAGCAGATGAAGCAGTCGCTCACGTCTTCACCGACACTGTCGTACCCAGATCCCACTCGCCCATACGTTGTAGTGACCGACGCATCAGATCGGGCCATAGGAGCGGTGCTTCTTCAGGACCAGGGACGCGGGTTGCAGCCGATCGCGTACGAGTCGCGTAAGCTTAGGGGAGCGGAGTTGAACTATCCCATACACGACAAGGAGGCGCTCGCGATCATCCATGCGTATAAGGTGTGGAGGTGCTACCTAGAGGGGGCAGATAGTGTGATACGCACGGACCATTGCTCGCTTCGCTTTCTCAAGTCACAGCCGCAGCTGAGTCGTCGCCAGGCTAGATGGATGGAGTTCATGGAGGGGAGTTTCCACTATAGGATCGAGTATAAGCCAGGCATGCGCAACCCAGCAGATCCGCTCACTCGCCCTAGTTGCCAGCTCGCTAGCCTCACAGTCACTGCCGGCCATCCACTTCTCACAGCACTCTTCGAGCACGGTTACACAGTAGATCTCGACTTCACACCGCAGCCGCCCGCAGAAGCAGAGGTGTAGGGTAGTGTCTACATACGGAAGGGTACCACACGGATTTGGGTTCCAGCCTACCGCCCTCTTCGACAGCTTCTTCTCTCAGAGGCGCACGACGTAGTTAGTGCAGGGCACTTCGGAGCAGATAAGACGGCTAAGACGCTTAGTCGCACGTACTTCTGGCCAGGGCTTGCAGCAGACGTAGAGGATTACATTCGCTCGTGCGACACGTGTCAGCGTACGAAGTCCTCTCGCCAGCGAAAGGCAGGACTTTTGCAGCCGATTCCACCACCCGACCGCCCTTAGCAGGTAGTTACGATGGACTTCATCATGGCTTTACCGCGCACAGTTAGGGGTCACAACGCCATCTCCGTGGTAGTGGATAAGTTTTCTCGAGCAGCACACTTCATCCCCACGCACAGCAAGGTCACAGCAGAGGAAGCCGCGACGCTGTTCGTAGATAACGTAGTCCGACTGCACGGGGTTCCAGATTCCATCATCTCAGACCGCGACCCTCGTTTCACTTCGAAGTTCTGGAAGCAGCTTTTCGCACTGTTTGGGACTCACTTAGCCATGTCGTCTGCGTACCATCCAGAGACAGACGGACAGACCGAGCGTCTGAACCAGACCTTGGAGCAGATTCTTCGCAGCATTACGATGCACGACGCAGCCGCATGGGACAAGAAGCTGAGCATGGCCGAGTTCGCCTACAACAACACGCACCACTCGTCCACAGGCATGTCACCGTTCTTTGCACTGTACGGTCAGCACCCCAATGTCCCCACTCGTGTCGATCTCACACCCACAGTCCCTCGTGCGGACAACTTCCACCAGCATCTCACATTCATTCATGATCACGTAAGGAAGCACCTTGAGCTCGCAAATGCACGCATGGCACGCACCACCAACCGTAGTCGTCGTGAGGTGTCGTTTTCAGTTGGCGATCGTGTCCTTCTCGACAGCCGCAATCTCCGACTGCCACAGGACAGCAAGCTTCGCCCTCGTTTCATTGGTCCATTCGTCATTGAGCGCGCACTAGGTCCAGTTGCATACCGCCTTCGCCTTCCCGCTCATTTCCGCATGCACCCGTCATTCCACGTGTCGCTTCTTCGTCCTTACACCGATCCCAACGCCACCTTCTCGGGCCGTGACCGCACTCCACTGCCGGTAGCTGTTGACACCGACGAGCCCGACTACCAGATCCAGCGCATCCTCACGCACCATTGCCGTCTCCAGGGGGGTGTCCCTTTCATCGACTTCTTGGTTCGTTGGCGTGGTTACGACGCAGCAGACGACAGCTGGGTTCCTTCGTCCTCGCTGTCTCCCGACAACGCTTGCCTCCAAGCGTACCTCCAGTCTGCAGGCGTCGCGGACGTCGCCTCCTTGGGAGGGGGGTAGTGTTAAGGGGGGATTTACTGTTCATTCCGAACAGTACTTTCCAACTCACCCTTATCCTTATCTTCCTTGATTTCCTAGTGCCACGTGGCACTCTACCTTTCTTGCCTTCAATTCCTAGTCCCACGAAGTACTTTCCGATATTCGATCTTGAATGCTATATCAACCTCACTTGTACTTGCCATTATCAATCAATTCTCATTCAACTCTTCAATTACTCAGTTACCTCTTCGCCTATTTCGCCAACACTCTCTTTGGCCAAAGTCTTCCGCCACGTTTATCCTCAATTTAGTCAACCCCGCTATTCCTTAGCGGATTTAGGCCAAGGGGCCTAACACAAGTGTCCCCACAGGAATGTACCCTCACTTCCCCGATATTGCATTCTGCGCACTCTCCTTTCGTACAAGTCATAACACCTAGTGCAATTCTCGCTACCTCGATTCATTGCACCCATAACATTGTGACAACTGTACAAACTGGGCGGCGCATTGTTGAATGATGAGCCTGGTTTCGCGCCAAAAGTGGTCTTTATTGCCAAATTGTTTTTGGCCAGTCGCCCTGATTTTCGACTCTCCAAATGAGCCTACAACATGGTGGAGAACGCCTCGCATCGGTAAGGGTCGGGCGGGGACGATTCTTAACCACTCACCAAAGCTCACCACCGATTGGCACCACGGCTCACCACGGCTGCTTCACCTCTCATGTGGACTTTTGTTGTTGCAGGTAGGTTCTCAGGTATCAGCTCAGAAATTCGCCAACCCTCTCCTCTGCTTGTCGTTTTGATTCGCACATTGGTTTCGCACAAACGCGCAAATGTGTACAGTACACCCGTGCGGAATGTCGGTTCTCGAGAACAGGGTAGCACAGAAGGGTTGGGTTTCCAGCCGTCAGATTATTTTCTGACAGTATCGGTCCCTAGGCATCGACCTACCTGTATTTCTTTCTGCACTCTCTCTCAGCCTTAGTCACTGCCTTGTGCTTCGGAAACCTCGCGATTTACCCTCGCCGTCAGATGAAATGAAGACTTCCATCAAGCTCCTTGTCTTGGCAATTCTTGCCGCACTCCTTTTCTCGGCTGGTGAGTTCGCGCGCTGATCGCTCCTTGTCTTGGCAATTCTTGCCGCACTCCTTTTCTCGGCTGGTGAGTTCGCGCGCTGATCGCTGGTTCCCGACTCACCCCGTCATGGTTCACCTCTTCTAGGGTTTCCCTTCACCACGGTCATTGTTGCCTTGGTTGCTGCTATCCCTGTTCTGTTACTCACAGTCGCCCTCTACTTTCCCTTTCAGCTCTCCCAAGTTTGGCTTTGGGCCGTTGCCACGGAAAATTGAGGAAGGTGCTACCAACTGACAAGTGTGCGGCCATAATCACCAAGTACTACAGAAGGCAGCCTAATCTTTTCGTGAAGTACAACGGCTACAAATGCACCGATCCCCTCAAGGCCGGCTCCACCATCTGCCTGCCATAACAGAGCTACGTGGATAAAATAATCTCAGGAAGCTGCCACTTTAATATCCGAGGTCCATAGCTTTCCAAGGTAGGAAGGTTGTTTGGGGAACGTGACGCAACTACAATACCAGTTTCTTCGTGGCAGGAGACGCCTGTATGAATAGCTCTAGATACGATAAGTCTCCCAGTCGCTGAAAGGCGATTCGTATTTGGGACACAACACAGTTTATGTTGTTTTTGGGTGTCACAAAGTGATTGAGACACAATTGTCCCCACAGGAATGTACCCTACGCTTGTAGTTCATTCATCATGAGTACCGTACATGATATACCGAACTATGATCCTCATCCGTACTTCAATCTGGAGTGTTGAAATATATGTATTCAAAACTTGATAACCACTCAGAACCTCCAAAGAACCTCAGGGGCTTTTATTACCTAAAGGGATTTGATACCGGTTACTTCCGCTCACTTACGCCCAAGGTTTCCCCTAAAAATCTGCTGGGCTTCTCTCAGCCCAGCCGGTTGCATGTGGCGGCACTGTGTGAACAGCCCTTGCTTTTGCGGCACGTCTCTCCGCTCCCTGCATCCCTGACTCCGCACTCACAGCAGCCTCAGCAGTCATGGCACGCTGCTCTGTGTGTCCTTCCCCTCTGCCGCGCAACCTGCGGCTCATCATCATCCCGTCCACCTGGGCTTGCCACCCTTCTTCCCCTCGTTGCCACCCTTCTTCCCCTCGTTGCCACCCTTCTTCCCCTCGTTGCCACCCTTCTTCCCCTCGTTGCCACCCTTCTTCCCCTCGTTGCCACCCTTCTTCCCCTCGTTGCCACCCTTCTTCCCCTCGTTGCGCTTCCTCTTCTGACCGCTCAAGTGCTTGCTGCCCGCCCAACCTCCCTTTCCTGCCCCCTTCTCCTTCTTGCTCCCTCCGCCCTTCCCCTGTGAGCCTCCCTGCTTGCCCCCTGTCCCCATCCCCCATGCAACCCTCGCCTCGCCACCACCCTTGTGCCACCTCCCCTTTTTCGCTCCACTCCACCCCTCTGCATTTCTCTCCCTCTCACCCCCCCAACCCTTTCCATCCTCCCCAAAATTCCCGTTGCTTGCTCTGCCCCCCCTCCTCCCACCTCCTCCTCCCCAAAGCTCCTCCTCCTCCTCGTCCTCATCCCAAGCAGACCTACCCCCCTCAAATTGCTGCCGCTTCCCTCTCTTCCCACCCCGCCCAGCACCGTCATCCCCCTCCTCCTCCCAACCCCCACGTCTCTTCCTCTCCACCTGCCCTGCCCCCCTCACATTCCTCCACCCACCCTCCTCGTCCTCCTCCTCATACTCATGGCCACCGGGGTTGCCATTGCCGTGGCTACCATCATCACTGTCCCAGAACCGCTTGTGCTGCACTCTCTGCCCCTGCTGCCCCTTCCGCCCCCACAGCCCTCTCTGCCCCTGCTGCCGTTTGCCGCCTCTCCCGGTGTCAAAGCGGGCGGCAATCATGATACTATCCTTGATACGATCCTCCCCGCTATCATCACTGTCATCATACCCCACAAACCTCGTGTCATCCCCGTCACCACCACCACCACCACCACCACCACCACCACCACCACCACCACCACCACCACCACCACCACCACCACCACCACCACCACCACCACCACCACCACCACCACCACCACCACCACCACCACCACCACCACCACCACCACCACCACCACCACCACCACCACCACCACCACCACCACCACCACCACCACCACCACCACCACCACCACCACCACCACCACCACCACCACCACCACCACCACCACCACCACCACCACCACCACCATCCATCTCTTCCTCTTCATCATCACTACTCAGCTGAGCCTTAACAAAGCGCTTCTTCCCTCCCCTCCCCCAAATCCCCCCATCTCCCCCACCCCCCTCTGCGTCTCCACTTCCCTCCTCCCCCTCATCCTCCTGCGTGCCCCGCCCCCTGCGAAACGTCTTGGGGCAGTCCTTAATCAAATGCCCCGCCTCGCCACACCGGAAGCACCGCCGCCCCTCCGCCCCCCTGCCCGCACCCGCTGCCCTCAGGTGAGCAGCAGGCGAATCGGCACCTGCTGTCTTGTATCTGGTGGCGGGGCTGTGTGAAGCAAAGTTGAAGGAGTTGAAATGGCGAGCAGAGGGGCACTCCTGACAGTGGGCAGGGTAAGGGGGAGAGGAGGGGGTAGGGTGTGCGCAGAGCAGGGGGAGGGAGGTGTGAGGGAGTGGTTGCTGCTGTAAAGTGAGGGGAGAAAAGCAAAGAGGAGGATGGAGCAGACTTATGAGGGGGATTCATGTGGTGGTAAGAAGGAATGGGGAAAGACAAGAGGAGATGGGAAACAAGAGAAACCGATGAGGTGAGGAAAAACGGCGCTCGGGAGGGCGAGAGAGAGAGGACTTAGCCTCTGGCCTCTTCCCTCGGCCCTCTTCCCTCTATTCCCTAGCTATATAAGGGCCCCTCAGCCCTTCCTCTTTTTCATTAGTTCGTTTGGTGGTAGGAAAAACGGTGAGGTGGAAGCGGATTGAAGGAGACGGAATGCGAGGAGCGCAGGGAGCCAGGGATGGTTGTGCAGGTGGACTCTTGCCGGCCTGCAACCCTCTCTACCTCCCTCCACCGCCCTCTCCCTGCTACCCCCCACCTCTCACCCCCCCAAGCTACCCCCCACCTCTCACCCCCCCAAGCTACCCCCCACCTCTCACCCCCCCTTGCTCCCCCCCACCTCTCACCCCCCCTTGCTCCCCCCCACCTCTCACCCCCCCAAGCTACCCCCCACCTCTCACCCCCCCTTGCTCCCCCCCACCTCTCACCCCCCCTTGCTCCCCCCCACCTCTCACCCAAGCTGCCCCCCACCTAACCTCTCACCCCCCCCCCCCCCCCCCCACCTCTCCCCGCACCTTCATGCTGCCGCTCACCTCGCCGTGGTGTCCCCTGGCGCCACAGCAGCAGCACGACGGCTTGGGCGGCGGGTCTGCCAGGTCAGCGCACGCCAGGTGACCCCACTGCAGGCACACGTGGCACTGCACCCTCGCCAGGTCAGCGGGGTCATACGGCTGCCAGCACTCCCCAAACACGTGCCCCTCCCCACCACACCGCATGCACTCCGCTGCCCCCCCTTCCCTCCCTCCCCTCTGCGCCCCCTCCCCCTCCGCCTTCGCCCCCTCATCAACCTCAGCCTTTTTCTCTCCGCCCGCAGCAGCAGCAGAAGCAGCAGCAGTGCCACCATCGCCAGTAGCAGCAACGGTACCATCCCCACCCCCACCACCAGCAGCACCACGGCCACCGTGAGCGCCCTTGCGCCCGCCATCACCAGCCGCCCCCTGCGCCCGGGTCCACGTGCGGGAGGGGCAGTGCCTGACCACGTGGCCCGGCTGCCCACAGCGCACACACATCACCCTCTCGGGGCACCGCCGCTCCCAATGCCCCAACCCCCCACACACGCAGCACACCCTCCCCTCGCCCTCGCCCTCCCCCGCCCTTCCCCCAGTTCCCCCTTCACCCCCGTCCCCCTGCTGCACGCCCTGGCAGAGGTGGGGAAGGGGCCCGGCGAGCACGAGGCCACAGAGGTAGCACTGGTGCTGCCCCTCGGCCGGTGTGAAGTAACGTGGCAGCCGCAACAGCCGCCGCATCTCCACGCTCTCCCCGCCTGCCTCCCCCCCTGCCTCGCCTGCTTCCGATTTCCACTGAGGCTCTGACTGGGCCTTCCCTTGGGGTTCCGACTGGTCGCCCTGCAGTTGACTCGCTGCTGCGCCATCGCCCGTTGCTCCTTCTGCTCCCTTGCCCTTCGACTTCTTCTTCCTTTTCTTTTTCCTCTCCTGCCCGTCCTCCTGGTTTTCATTCTGCCCGCCCTCCAACACCTCCGCCTGTCCCTCGCCTGCCACTGTCATCGTCCCCTCCTCCTCTCCTCTCCCCTCTCGGCGTCCTTTCTTTCTCCTCCCTTTGCCAATCTTCTCCGCCCCATCCGCTCCCCTCTCCCCTTCCCTCGCCCCAGCGTACTCCGCAGCCCCCATTGCCATTTCACCACCTGACGTTGTCTTGCCTGCCGTCGCCTCACCTGCTCGCTCCTCGCGCTCATCCCGTGTCTCCGCCCCTACACCACTCATAGCCTCCCCGCCCTCTCTGGCCTGCTCGTCTGTCCTTGCCTCGTCCACCTTGGCTCTCTTCGCTTCCACGTCCGCCGTTGACTGTTCCACGTCAGCCGATGTCGTTTCCACGTCAGCCGTTGACTGCTCCACGCCATCAGCCCTTGTACTTTCCATGTTCATGGGGACTCTAGACTCCTCCACGCCCGTCCTTGTATCGCTTACGTCAGCCCCAGTGTTCTCCACGTCAGCTCTGGCGGCGCTAACGTCAGCCCGTGCATGCTCTACGTCAGACGTGTCGCTCCCCTCTAGCGTCAAGTCAATAATCGGACTCGTTAGCGGCATTCTCGCTATTGTACGGGTATCTCCGCGCGCCTCAGTGACAACGTGCGTCACGGTAGTCTCACCTTCGACAATGGCATCCCTCGTGACAGCATCTTCACGACTACTATCTGCTCCTTTCGCTGCAGCAGCATCGCGGTGCATTACTGTAGCTTCCCGCCCAGCTAAATTGTCGTCGTCGTGAGAGGCTGTAGCAGCCCGATCGGCTGTAGCGCCCAGGTCGGCTGTAGCGCGTTCATTGACCGCAGCGCGTTCACTGACTGTGGCGTTCCGATCAGCATCAGCGCGTGACAAGGCGGCTTCGTTCTGCACTACAAGCTGATCGATGTCGTCGCCCGTTAAACCCCTCGCTGCCCCTTTCCGCTCGGCTAAAACCCGCGCTGTTCCGTCCGCTCTTCCTAAATCCCGAGCTGTCTCGTCAGCTCCTCTTGAATCCCGCGCTGTCCCGTCCGCTCCGCCTAAAACCTGCGCTGTGCCGTCCGCTCCGCCTAAAACCCGCGCTGTCCCCTCATCCTCGCCTAAAGCCCTCGACGCAAAAAACAGTCGCTCGTACTGCGGAACGATCGATGGTGGAAGAACCGACGGAAGGGCCGACGGCGGAAGGACGGCGGAAGTCCCGGGGGAAGACCTGGCGGAAGCGCTCACTCCCTCTGCCGGGCTCGCCTTCTCTAGCATCGCCATTGTCGGCCGGCCACGGCCCGCATGCAATCGGCGCTCGCAAGATGCGTTGCCTAAGGAACTCTCCAAAAGCCAGTGCGATCGCGACGCGAGAACGCGTGAGAGCTTGCGAGTTGGATGACGAGCGGCGAGGTCGCGACACGCGTCGAGCCTGCTGGAGTGCGGAATTTGCACCGCAGAAGGTTTGCTGGAATGGCCCGAAAATACTGAAGAAAACCCTAATGCTGGTAGAGGTGAAGCAGGCTGCTAATCTATCCGAGGCTGCACGGGGCGGCAAGGCTTGAGGATAGAGGTGAAGGGGTGAGACACGCAAGCAGGACAACAAACGAGTGCTTCAACCTTCAGCCCAGCAGACTTGTGAAGATGATTGCTGTGTGTGTCGTGGTGTTGTGAAAGGGAGGTACATTTATCGCGGTGTCAGAAAATGATCGCAACCGCATGCTGCGAAATCTGCGAACTTGTGGTGGGGGTCGGTTGCGCACATCCCAGTTCGCTATGAATCCAGCCGCGCTAGCGGCGAAAGGATAGTTGTCGCCACTAGTGGGACGGACTACGCACTTTCGCTTGAGGCGAAGACGCGGATTGCCTGTTCTGCGTGGAGTACAGTGAGGTTTGGAAGGAATTACACAAAATAATCGCCCTTGGTGTCGTTCCCGGTTTCAATAAACCGGACATATGGTGTCATTTGTTTGGACCAGTGTGCAAACCAGTCACCCAGGACACGAAGGCATGACAAGTACCAAGATCAAGGGTCGAAACGGAGTGCGCAATGTCGATCCGCCACCGCACTGTAACCACCTGTATCTATCTCTGCATCGGTAACTAAGGACGCGTCACCTCCCTCGATCGATCGTGCAAAATCAAGGAAGATCGATCTTCCACCGCACTTAAATCCCGCGTGTTGCATTTAAATATGTTTGAAAACTTTTTGAACCGAATCAAAATTCGATCCTGCGCAGGATCGATCGAGGCAGGTGACGCGTCCTAAGCGACCCCTACAGCGACCCGTTTTTTCAGCGCAATTGAGCAGCGACAGCGTCGCAGAACCGCGACAGACTTGCACGACTTTCCCGTGACGGCATTTTGAACATAATCTTATCGATCCTCGGCTTTTCTCTGCGGCTCCTCCTCTGCCAAATCACTCTCGTGCTCTTCCCGCCTCTCGTCTCCCCAGGAGAGCCCCTCACGCCTATCCCGCCTCTTCTCCGCCGCTGCGCGCTTTGTTCCGCCGGAGCTCCGCGCGGAACCCCCGACGACTTCCCTCTCCTCCACTCCGCCATTCGCGCTTCTGGCGGGCGGCACGGCCTCCCGCAGCGGCGCCATGCGCGGCGCCGCCGCGTTCCTGCGCGGATTCCTCGACTCCGCGCTGCCGCTGCTCGCCCTGCTCGCGCTGCTCTCCGCGCTCCTCCGCTTCCTTCCCCCCCGCCCCTACGTAAGAGTCCCTCTCTACGCATGTCCCGCGCCCTGTCGTCCGCCCGCCCTCATTCCTGCACCAACCCCTGTCCACCGCCCTGTACTCCTCTCCGCCCTGCGCGCTCTTTCCTTCACCTCCCACGCCCGCCATGGGAATTGAGGCACCGCGCCCCGCCTGCTGCACTTGACACCCGCCCTCCCTTCTTTCTTACTTCTCCTCTCTGCCATTACCCTGTCTGCTGCCCGTGCCCCACTCACCTCATTCCCCTTGCCTGCCTCTCCCATGCACCCACCCTCTCATGCACCCACCCGCCCATGCACCCACCCGCCCATGCACGCACTCTCCATGCACGAACCCGCCCATGCCCCCACCCGCCACGCCACGCAACGGGGCAGGAGGAGGTGGGGCGGTGGGAGGAGGCGCAGGAGCAGAGCGCCGATGCCGCCACCACCATGCTGCTCGCCGCGCTTCGACGACTCAAGTGTGAGCCGCCTGCCGCCCGCCCTTGTGCTGTGCCCCCTGACCTCTGCACCGTGCCCCCTGACCTCTGCACCGTGCCCGCTGCTCCCCGTCCGCCGCCCATGCCGCCACCCCATGCCGCCACCCCATGCCGCCACCCCATGCCGCCACCCCATGCCGCCACCCCATGCCGCCGCCACCCCATGCCGCCTGCCCATTGCCCCATGCCCCTTGCGTCCCCCTTCCTCCTCCCCGTGCTCATTCCCCTTCCGCCTAGCATCTCCCGCACTCACCCCATCCCTCCCCATCCTAACTCCCTTTCCCCTCCCCCTTCCTAATGTGCATCCGTCAAATTTTCCCCCTATGCACTTTGTGTCGCCCTCACCTCTCCAAACAGCGGAGCCACAGAGGCAGCGCCTGGAGAGGGGCCTGCCGGGGTGCGTCCTGTATGCCAACGACTGCCGCCTTTCTGCATCCTCTCATTCCTCGTCCACCATCCATTCTACACCTCATCCCATGCATTCTACACCTCATCCCATCCATTCTACACCTCATCCCATGCATCCTACACCTCATCCCATGCATTCTACACCTCATCCCATCCATTCTACACCTCATCCCATGCATCCTACACCTCATCCCATGCATTCTACACCTCATCCCATCCATTCTACACCTCATCCCATGCATCCTACACCTCATCCCATGCATTCTACACCTCATCCCATCCATTCTACACCTCATCCCATGCATCCTACACCTCATCCCATCCATTCTACACCTCATCCCATCCATCCTACACCTCATCCCATGCATTCTACACCTCATTCCATCCATTCTACACCTCATCCCATGCTTTCTACACCTCATCCCATGCATTCTACACCTCATCCCATCCATTCTACACCTCATCCCATCCATTCTACACCTCATCCCATGCATTCTACACCTCATCCCATCCGTTCTACACCTCATCCCATCCATTCCACACCTCATCCCATGCATTCACCCCATTCATCCATGCAGCGGAGCCACAGAGGCAGCGCCTGGAGAGGGGCCTGCCGGGGTGCGTCCTGTATGCGGACGACCGCCGCCTGAGTGCATCCTCGCTAAGAGCTGCTGGCAGTGACTCGTTTGAAGCGCATGGGCGCGAGTTCCCGTACTGGCTCGCCACCAAGCTCATCAACCGGTGAGCAGGGAGTGAGTCAATAGGAAGGGCGTGAGTCAGCAAGGGCGGCGGGGGATTGTTGAGCAGCGAATCGTCCAAAGCGCATGGGCGCGAGCTCCCCTTCTGCCTCGCCACCCAGCTCAGTAACTGGTGGGGCGCGAGTGAGCGGTGAGGTGGGATGAGACAGCAATCTGGGGGAATGAGTTAGCGGGGGGGAGGGGGGTAGGATTCTAAGTAAGCAGGTGGGGGACGTGAATACAAGGGAGAGTCTTGTTGCATCTTATGCTTTCTCATGTGACTCTTCGTTCAGGCAGGCTTACAGGTGCACTCGCTGTGGCAGGCACTCGCCCTGGCTGGCAGGCACCATTTCTCTTGTTTCCCGCGCTCACCATCACGCTGTGCGCTCCCGCTTCACTCCTTGCTCCGCTGCTCCCCTCCATCCCCTCCCTGTTCCTGCATGGGCCACCCACAGGGCGTATGCGCAGCGCCACGGGTACCGCTTTGTGGAGATGGGCGAGGCGGACAAGGACCCAGGCAGACACCCCTCCTGGTTCAAGGTGCCTCGTCTTCCCTGCGCCGCACAGTGATGTAATGATTTTTGCTTGAGTGCCAAGCGGCACCTCAAAAGCCTTGTCCTCACATGCTGGATTCCGCCACCCCCTCACCTCACCCCACGCTGCTCTCTCCAACTTTTCTGCTGCTGCCAACGGCCATTCTCCATCTCCCCCCAATGCTCTTCAAACCCCGCCCCGCACCCCTCCTTGCTTATTCCCTCATCCCCCATCCCCATACCCACTCCTCCCTAACGCCTCAGGTGCGCTTCCTACAGTGCCAGCTGTCCTCCTGCTGGAAGTGCGCTTATCCTCTCATCCTCCATCCCCGCACCCCGCCTCCCTAACTCCCCGCCCCAGGTGCGTTTCTTACAGCGCCAGCTGTCTTGCTGCTGCGAGTGGGCGTTCTTCCTGGACTCAGACGCCTACTTCCGCATGGACAACCACCGCCTGTCCATTCAAAGCTGGGTGGATCGACTGACTCTGCCTGTAAGTCCTGCCTGCGAGGCACATGTTTTTCTGCCTGCCACCTGATGTGCATCAATCGCTCCCTTGCCTTCCTCGACTCAGATGCCTACTTCCGAATGGACAGCCACCGCCTGCCAATCAAAAGCTGGGTGGATCGACTGACTCTGCCGGTGAGGCCTGCCACCCCAGGCGTGCATGAGTCAGGCGCTTCCCTTGTCCGAGTCACACGCGTCCATCCGCATGGCCAACCACCGCCTCTACCGTGCCCAGCTGGGTGCACCAACTCTCTCTGCCTCTACGACCAACCTGGGACGAACAAAATCCTACACTGCTCTCCACCTCTCCTTGCCGTGCTTTTTTCCATCAGTCTCTTTCCTTGTTTCACTTTGGCGCTTCAAACATTCTCCGCATGGACAACCACCGCCTCTCTGTGCACTGCTGGGTCGACCACCTCACCCTTCTCGTGGTGCATGGCTGGATGGGTGCATGGCTGGATGGGTGCATGGCTGGATGGGTGCATGGCTGGATGGGTGCATGGCTGGATGGGTGCTGAGCTGGATGGGTGAAGGGGAGACATGTGTCCTTCATACGCCTCTATGTGCACTCATGAGGGGACCGCTTCATACTGCCCATGAGACCTGGGAGGGCCAACTCTTCTCATGCTCTACCAGAGCTCCTCCGTCTTCCATTCTGTCTCCCACCATTTCTCCCACCTTTCCACCCCTCTCACTCTTTCACCTCTTCTCCCCCTCCTCCACCCACCCCCCAGCACTACTTTGACTGGATCGCCCGTGACTACAACATCTCGCTGGCCAACCAGACCTGCTTCCCGCGCCCCCCCTCCTCCATCTTCTCGCACTCACCTCCCGTCTGCCCCCCGTCACCTGTGGGGGCCGGGCAGGGTGGGGGAGAAGGCGAGGCAGGAGAGGGGGGGCATTGGGGAGGTGGAGGAGGGGGGGAGGGGGAGAGCCGGGCGGCGGTGTGTGTGGTGGCGCCGCGGAACGATGATGAGGCGTCGGGGATGGCGGAGGGGCGGGCGGGGGCGCTGTTCAACGGCAGTATGGAGTATGTGAATGCCGGGGTCACACTCTGGAGGCGCTCCCCGCACTGCCTCAAGGTGAGATTTGATACGTCTCAAAATGCGGAGGATGGGGGAGGGGGAAGGGGGTTGATGGGGATGTTTAACGGCAGCATGGAATATGTCAACGCGGGGGTCACCCTGTGGCGCCGCTCCCCCCACTGCCTCAAGATGCTGCTGCTCTCTGCTGCTCCCTGTTGCTTTCTGCTGCTGCTGCTGCCCCTGGGGCTGCACATTCCCCCTCACTGCCCCTGGGGCTGCACATTCCCCCTCACTGCCCCTGGGGCTGCACATTCCCCCTCACTGCCCCTGGGGCTGCACATTCCCCCTCACTGCCCCTGGGGCTGCACATTCCCCCTGACGCAGAGCACACAAGCCTCGAGCCTGCCACTGACTCCCAACCTCCCCTTATCCCCTCACTCAATTATCTCCCATTCCCTCCGATCCCCCACCCCATTGTCTCCCGCCCCCTTCACAGTTGCTTGCCAACTGGCACACGGAGCCGGCGAGGCAGTACCTCGTCTCACCTCTCCCTTCTCCCCTCTCCCCTCTCCCCTGCCCCTGTCCCCGTTCATTACTCCGTCCATTCCGCAACCCCCACAGCTGCTCGCCAGCTGGCACGAGGAGCCGGCCAGGCAGTACCTGTGGAGGCGCAACTGGGAGCAGCCGAGGCTCAACGTGCTGCTCGCTATGCCGCAGCACGTTGCCGACGTGGCAGTGGTGCCCTTCCGGGAGCTGACCGGGCACTCGGGACGCGCCATCCGGCACCGCTGGCTCAACTCCATCATGACTGACGAGACGCGCAGTGACTTGGTCAAAGATGCATTGCTAGGCAGTTTCTTGACAAGTTACATGTACATGTTTTGATTATATAAAAAGTTCTACATTATATTAGTGGTTTTGGGGCGCAATCCGGCACCGAGTCACCAACTTAATTATGACTGATGAGAAGCACACTGATCATATGAAACATGTGCAAAAAAGGATAGTTTCCTGACCAGTTGCGGTGCATGTACATGTTTTGAAGTTCGATACTAACGGTAGTGATATCCTTCTTGTAAAGCCTCGGATAAAAGGCCCTCGCGTCTTGACAGGGTCGCACAATAAAAATGTGGGTGGGAGAGGGAGGGAGGGGTACAAATGCACGTTTTTTAATAAGACCCGGGTCTTAATATATATATATATATATATATATATATATTTTTGGTTGCGAAGCGACCTATTACGATCGATGTGGACATTGTTTTTTTCACATTCTATTTATTTATTCATAATAAAATGTGAAGAAAAAATGGATGCACTAATTGCTTGCTATGTAACCTCGAGGAGGTCCTGCCTAGTTCAATTTTACTAACGTGGTGGTTCTATTTTTTTGGACAACTATTTTGTTTCTGTGATTTACATTGTTGTACTTTACTACAGTATAATATGCACATATTATGAAAAGATGAATATAATGATTGGTGAATGTGGATGAATATAATGATATTATATAAAATACGATATATTGTGTAATGTATGATATGATAAGATAAATTTATGCTTTATGTTCAATACAAATAATGCTTACCTGTTATTGGCAATCCATGATGCAAATTATAATGATAAAGATGTGTGAAAGCTAACGACCCAGAAACTATGCTACCGCATCCCCTGCCTAGCATGGAGGGGAACTAATAGCAAATTTTTTGAACTATTAGCAGTCACATGAAACAACACAATCTGTAAACTCCATCTGTCAAACTTATATGCTATAGTCTGTGTAGGCTGTAGTGGGGTAGACTATATGGGGTACAACATTTCTAGGTTTTCCTACTTGTACCCACCTTCTTGCTAGTTCATTCATTCCTCATTCTTCACATGGTATAGAGCAGGTTCCCTCGTGGGAACGCTTCTCAGGGCCCACCACCTAACTCGATATTTTTTTTCCTGCCCGAGGCGTGCCCCGTAGGCCGCCCTCACGTCGCGCCCTCCTAGAGGCCCCTCGCGCCACCCTTAGCGGCCTCGTCGCCGTCCTTAGCGACCCCGTCGCCGCCCCTCTAGGCCCCTCGCGGCCCCTTCACGGCCCTGTCGCCGCCGCTCTAGGCCCCGTCGCCGCCCCTCTAGGCCCCTCGCGGCCCCTTCACGGCCCCGTCGCCGCCGCTCTAGGCCCCGTCGCCGCCGCTCTAGGCCCCTCGCGGCCCCTTCACGGCCCCGTCGCCGCCGCTCTAGGCCCCGTCGCCGCCCCTATAGGCCCCTCGCGGCCCCTTCACGGCCCCGTCGCCGCCCCTAGCGGCCCCGTCGCCGCCCCTCTAGGCCCCTCGCGGCCCCTTCGCGGCCCCGTCGCCGCCCCCTCTAGGCCCCTTACGGCCCCTTCGCGGCCTCGTCGCCGCCCCTCTAGGCCCCTTGCGGCCCCTCTGCAGCCCCGTCGCCGCCCCTAGCGGCCTCGTCGCCGCCCCTGGAGGCCCCGTCGCCGCCCTTCGCGGCCACCTCGCCGCCCTTAGCGGCCCCGTCGCCGCCCCTAGCGGCCCCATCGCCGCCTCTACCGGCCCCATCGCCGCCTCTACCGGCCCCGTCGCCGCCTCTACCGGCCCCTTCACCGCTGAGCCGCCCAGCAGCTGAGCAGCCGAACCACCCAGCAGCCGAGCCGCCCAACAGCCGAGCCGCCGAGCCGCCCAGCAGCCGAGCCGCCCAGCCGCCGAGCCGCCCAGCAGCCGACCGCCCAACAGCCGAGCCGCCGAGCCGCCCAGCAGCCGAGCCGCCGAGCCGCCGAGCCGCCCAGCAACCGAGCCGCCGAGCCGCCCAGCAGCCAAGCCGCCGAGCCGCCCTGCCGTCGAGCCGCTACTGTTCCTACCGGCGCGCCCCGGCCCTACTTACTCGGACTGGTGAGATCACTCCCTGCTAGGCCACTGCAGTAATGGCTACCCCCAGTGTCCTTACCTTTGATGCTGAGGGTCGTGCTGTTGACTTTGAGGTCTGGGTCGATGACCTCCAGCTGTTCCTACAGCGCGATAGGGCAGACGGACTCTCCCTGTTCGATCTCACCTCTGGTGCCTCTCCTGCCCCGCCTGCTACAGCTGACTGTCAACATATATTTTATATGTGTTGTTTAGGTTAGTCTAGGTGTTACGTTTCTACTTACTTGCATGATTAGGGTTTGCTATATCTAGGGTTGTACTTCACATTTTCTATCAATTCATTCGTATCGTAACATGGTATCAGAGCTAGGTTTCCCTTAGGCGATTTTTCCCCTAGGCGATTTTTTTCCCTTAGGCGAAATTTCTCTCGATAGTCTATGGGCCCACCACCCGCGCGCCTCGTAGCGACCCAGCAGCAGCATAGGCTGCCCCCAGCGCACCAGCAGCAGCTTAGGCTACCGCCAGCGCACCAGCAGCAGCTTAGGCAACTGCCTGCGCACTAGCAGCAGCATTGGCTGCCCCCTGGAGAACCAGTAGCAGCCTAGGCTGCCTCTCAGCAGAACCAGAAGCAGCACAGGCTGCCCCCAGCGCACCAGCAGCAGCTTATGCTGCCCTCAGCAGAACCAGTAGCAGCATAGGCTCACATGGCATGTACTAGGGTTCTACAGCAGCAGGGCCAGCCGCAGCACTCCCGTCAGTTGGGGCCTGCGGGTCCAAAGTGTGGCGCCCCCAGCAGTGGCTCAGCTAGCAGTGGGCGAGATGTCGGCCCCTGCGGGTACCGGGCCCTGACAGGCCCTGGTGCTGGCACTACCTGCTGGATTCCTGACCACACTGCGTCCAGCTGCTACCGTCGACTCGACGACCTCCACGGTGAGCGTTTTGGTCCTCACGCTATTACACCGCACTGGCCTTCGCGCCTTCGCCAGCGCACTACTGCACCAGTTGAGTCTCACCTGCCAGGTCTAGGACCCTTTCCGGCTGCACGAGTAGAGACCTGTGTTTCCAGTCTTGGTGCGTGTGTTGTTTCCAGTCCCGGCGCCTCTGAGGGTCTTTGTGTAGAAGCTGCAGCTACCACTAGTCTAGCACTAGCCTTTGTAGCTGGTTCGGGTGCGACCCCACAGACTGCACAGCTTTCCTTCACCCTAGATTCTGGAGCGTCCAGCTGTTTCTTTCGCGACTGTACCGACCTCACACCACTGCGCACTCCAGTCACTGTCGCCTTGGCTGACCCCTCTGTGGGACGTGTAGTTGCTAGCAGCACCACCACTCTTCCGTGTCCGGCGGCTCCCTCAGGTTTTCTTACAGGTTACTACACCCCCTCGTTCTCTAGGAACTTGGTGGGTGTCAGTCACCTTCACGACCTAGGCGTAGTCACTACTTTCCCACTGGACGAGCCTGTTGCCTCCTGCACTGTCGGTGCCACTGGGGCGCCCCTGGCCACATTCCACAGAGAGCCGGGATCTGGTCTGTACTCACTACACACTGGGTCCCACCACACTGAGTCGGGTCAGGTCAGGTCAGGTCAGGTAGCTGCTGTGTCGTGTGACTGTCGGTCCCTCACCCACCCGTCGGTCCTCTGGCACCACCGTCTAGGTCACCCGTCGTTCCCGCGTCTCAGTAGGATGGCACGTTACCGTCTGGTCTCAGGTCTCCCAGGGTCGCTTGCACCGCTTCCCCGCTCGCCTGCGCCGCTGTGCACTCCTTGCGTCGAGGGTCGGCAGCGCGCTGCCCCTCACTCCTCCTCGTTCCCCCCCACCACGGCTCCCTTCGAGACCCTGCACTTGGACGTCTGGGGCCCCTCTCCGGTCCTTGGCCCACGTCAGGAGCGCTACTTCCTGATTGTGGTGGACGACTACTCCCGCTACACCACGGTTTTCCCCTTGCGACGGAAGGCCGACGTGCCTACCGTCCTCGAGCCGTGGCTACTAGCGTGGGGTGGCGCCCAGGGCCTGTGTGGGCTTCGCCTACACTCGGACCGTGGTGGTGAGTTTTCTTCCACTCGCCTGGAGACGTTCTGTCAGGGTCGGGGGATCATCCAGTCTTACACGCTACCAGCATCACCGCAGCAGAACGGGGTAGCCGAGCGACGCATCGGCCTGGTCATGGAGGTTGCCCGGACCTCCATGTGCCATGCCGGTGCCC